CAAAAAAAAAAAAAAAAAAAAAAAAAAAAATCAAAGGAGAGTTTAAGAACATCTTCAGAAGTCTACAAAAATCCAAGTCACCCAATCAATCACACTCCTTTTTGTTTTGTGGGAAACTGTTCACAAAGAAAGGGGTCTGGCTCGACCAACAAACTACTAACAGTGAAAAGAGGTGTAAAAACCTTTGAATGACCTTAGGGCACAAACGTTTTATAAACACTGTGTAACCCTGACTCTCATGACGTTTCAGGCTTTCCCATTGGAGGATCAGTACAAAAGCTTCCAGGCTATATATCTAAGATACATTCTGGGTTCTTGGATTTTATAGAATGGAAAGCTTCCTTATTAAGAAAACAATTATTTTCTTCCTCATGCAAGACTTGCATACTAAACCATAATCTATAAGTCTCACAGTAGTGGATTTTATTTTGTTCATTGGGTTCCCCCCCGCCACCGCTTTTGACTGTAATTCCACTCAAAGTGAGTACATATACACTGGGAAAATTTCAATTATATATGTACATAAAATGCCTAGCAGGTGCTGTATAAATGTTGCTTTCCTTCCCCATGTTAATACAGGTATCCCCTGCTTTCGAAACGTTTGCGGTAAGCCACTTTTACGAGAGACCTGTGTTAGTACCTTTTTTCGCTAACGAAAAAACATATCCAAAGAGGATTTCCTCTTTTACAAAAAACGTCATTCCCTTACTAACATAGGTCTTTCTTAAAAGCAAAGTGGCATAATGAGAGCTTGCAGAAATTGGGGGGATACTCTTCACTTTTACACCATTTTGCTTATGAAAGTTTTCACAGGAACGCTCTACTTTCGGCTAGCAGAGGAAACCTGTAATGTCATGTGAAGACTTAATTAGGTAATTGACATGCAGACGAACATAATAGCTAAAGGAACTATAAGAGATATACTGATATAAGGTATAAGTACAGTTGACAGGTTTTGAATACATTCCAAACCTTAATATCTATCATTGGTAGCCTAGTTTGCTCATGAGTATCATAATGTTAATTTACAAAATAAGAGCCCAAAGCACGCAACATCCATGGCAGCTTAACTAGATGTTGATATAGATGGAGTGTAACAGGTCAGTACACCTAACCATCCGCCTTTCTCCACAGGAATACGTGAACTGACAAATTCTAAGTGACCTTGATAGCCTTATCTCCTGGATAAACAGCACCTCATTTCCCCATCTAAAAATCGTGGCAACACTTATAGGATGTTTACATGGACATTTTCCTTTCATAATGCAAACCACGCCAGATACAGAAGAGCTCACCGGATCACTCACAGGTATGCCCAGCAAATGTCAGCACCGTCTGGGAACATCAAAGACACTCCAGAGCTCCACCCAAAGCCCAGGCCTCACATCTGGGCCCCGCCTGGTCAACAAAGACGCAGAGTCCAGGTACTACTGAAAGCCAGCCCATCATTCACAGTCCCAGATGCCATCCACAGGTATTACGTTTGTTGGCATCATCTGTCATTCCCATTCACGAGCTGAGATCAGAACCCCAAAGAGCTGCGACGTGACGCAATGCCTCTGTGTTGGAGGCTGATGTGGAGTCAACAGTAACATCTGGGGTCCGTGAAGCGTGGAGCACAAGATTCACCCTCAGCATCATACACTGGCCCTGTGTAACCTGAGCCCATCGTCAGTTTGCCGAAACGTAAGAACGATGGGGTGTCAGGGGTGGGATGAGGGGACAAGTTAAAGCAATATTTAGTGGGGGTGGGACCTGGGAAGAGGGTTTGCTGCAGCCATGATGCTCCATACAAACATGAGAGCAGAAGCCTCATGCTTCCAAGGAATGCAAGCAAGATGTCAGTTTTCCAGCTCTCTGTTCATTCCTTGTACCTGACAGCCCAGAATGACAGTCCCGGGGATCCCATTTCATTGTCCCATGAGGAGAACCAAAGGACTTTGGTCTCTTGGCTTTGCAAACTACCTTCCTCTTCCTCTGAGGGCAAGATAATTAAAACCCGAAAGGAAAGAAAGGAAGAGAAGAAAGGAAACGTGCTTCAGCATGCATGAGAACCCTTCAAGCGGCCGGCAGTCAGGGCGCTTGGGGCTTTCGACCCACGTTGGATTTGTGAGAAGGCTCTTGGCTGCGTTTTGCGTCAGTTCATCAAGCTACCAAATTCCAGACGAAACATCGGAACAGCAGATTGAGCGTGTGCACATGGGTGTTATCTGCTGCATTTTTTAACACATACAACAAAGAACAGTTAATTCTCATATCTCTGGTGAGAATGAACTTAATCTCCATAGAGTTTCACTGCTCTTGGAATGCAACCAAATCTCTCCCGTTTTTTTCCTTTTTTGCTCAGCAGGGCGTTGTACTGAAAGCTTCACCGGGCGGAGTACAATGAGGAACAAACTGCAGGGTGATGAGGTTTGCACAGTGCAGAACGTCACTGATTTCTGACTGAAACCAAAATGACTAGTTTGAAGCACCAGCTAATTAAAACCCCAGCTAAGGTATTTAGCCTCTTGTTATACCTACTGCTGTTTATAATTATGAGGACCTCTTTACCTACTCAATTAAAGTTCTTTGGTTTCAGGGAGGTTGTGTTTGAACCCGTGAGCCCCGCAGAGGCCACAGGAAAGCCGATGTCTGTCCCCTGATGACCTGATGCCCCTTTACACTCCCGGGCCGGTTTTCCAATGGGAAAAAAAAAAAAAAAAAGGGATCCACGGCCCACGAGGAAATGCTACAGCGGATTAAAGCTACACAATCAATTTGATGTACCCTGCCTCTGTGGAATACATGAATAGACA